GTCTTGGGTGTGCGTCCGCTGCATAGCGAAGGCCGAGAGTCCCCTGGGCGTGAGCAGCGCCACCTCTCCCCCTCCGGGAGCCCGTCTGTCCGTGGAGCGACGTGTCAGGAGTCGTGTACCCCGGTTGCACGTTGCGCCCGAGCTCGCGCGCACACAGCCCCGCGCCCCAGGGCTCGGTTCCCAGGCCCCCGCGGCGGGCGGGCGGAGCGAGGGATGTCCCGGAGGGAGGGCCCCAGAGTAACTTTTCTTCGGAAAATATGTCGGTCTGGCCCCCAGCCCAGGCCTGAGTCATCAGGCTCCGCAGCGTTGAGTCACTGCCTCCACCCCCCACCCCGACCCGGAGGACTGGAAAGGGACCCCCCCTGAAGCCTGCGCGGGGCTCTCCGCCGGGGGTCAGGGGCAGAGCGAGCCCCCCACCAGACACACACACACACACACCCATCCCAAGACAGCCTGGTTCCACGTGGAAAGAAGCCTTGGCTTTATTCGCTCAGTGCGGCCGCTACTCCGTTCACGGGCCCCTCCCGGGCGCGGGGCGGGGGGCGTCGGTGAGCGTGGGAACCCCAGCCAGCGCCCTGGCGGGGGCATCGTCCCCACCTAGTTCCCTCTTCCGCCGTCCTTCCCATGGGGTCCCCACCAGGGTCAAACACTCCTGTGTGGTGATGTCAGGACAGGGGGTGGTCCTTATAGAGAGGGGCAGGGAGGGCCGTAGCACCAAGAGCCCATCCCCCCGCGACATCCCTGAAGAGGGGACTGAAATAAAGCCCTGGGGTCTTTTATATCTGGTAAGGGCTCCACTTAAACATGGACAGACAGTGGGCGGTGAGGCCGGGCCCTGCCGTCTAACATTCCCACCCCCAGGAACAGGCAGCCGGGAGCCAGACTGGGCTTTCAACCCCGGGCAGGTGGGCAGAGGGCAGAAATACCTCCGAGTGCGCAGTTTGGGAGGAGTGAGGATCAAAGGGGCTTTTCTGTCCCGTAAAGATCGTTCTTAGAGAAAGGTGTGCGACCAGGCCTGGGGGAGGGGCTACGAGGGGTCCACCTGAGGAAGCAGAAGGTTGTGTCTCCCTTGGAGCCCCCAGTGGTCCCGAGGCTAGGTGAAGTGAAGGGGGAGGGGGGACCCTTGCCTGGGCGGTCAGGAGGAAGCGGGGCAGGGGGCCTGTTAGGCATTTCAACCAAGCGGGCCGCTCATTTACAGGGAGAGGCGAGGGGTCCCACCTGGAATCGGGGTGGGGGCGGCCGGTTAGGGCGGGGCGTGTGCCTGCGTGTGCTCGGGTGGCCACGTACATGCTCTCTCCTGAGAAGGCGGCTCCACCAGGGCAGGCATGTGTCTGGTTTGCTCTCTGCTGGAATCCCCAGCTCCTAGAATGAGCCCCGGACATCGAACGTAGTAGGTGCTCAATAAATACTTGAATGACTGATGCATGGGTAGATGCCTGTGTGTGTGTTAGTGTAGGTGTGACGTGCCCAGGTATATGCGAAGGGAGAGGTGCGGAGGGCGGGCGAGAAGTCTGGCCTCTCCCCTGGTCCCCTCCGTCTGGCGGTGTGGGAGAGTAGAGAGACCCCCCCCTCCTTACAGCTGAGGAGGCGGACAGGGGGGGTGCGTGTGGGCCAGGGTGGGGACGCGCGTGCGGCTGGCCGAAGCTGGGGAGCCCCGCGGGGCAGCGGGGGGGCCGGCGGCGGTGACGGTGACGGTGGCTCACTCAGCGGAGCCCTTGTGGCGCCGTTTCGAGGGTGGCACCAGGCGGCGGGGCAGGTTGGCGGGCAGCCCGTGGCCCTCGAGCTTAGCCTCGATGAGGTGGCTGGCCAGCGCGAACTCCTCGTCGTCCAGCATGCCGTCCCGGTCCACGTCGCTCAGCTTCCAGATGCGGCCCAGCACGGAGTTGGGCAGCTTGGTGGCCACCATCCAGCTCTTGGCCTTGCTGCCGCTCAGCTTGCCATCAGCCGGCGCCAGGTTGTAGAAGATCTCGTCGTACTTGGACTTGTCCTTGGTCACCACCCACTCGGCCTCGTCGTCCGAGCCCTCCTCGCCGTCCTCCAGGGCCTCGTCGGGCCCCCGCTCCACGAACGGGCCCATGTGGGTGCCCTCGAAAGCGCCGCCCTGCACGCGGGCCTCGGTGCTCTCCAGCTCCTCCTGCCGCAGGAGGGGCATGAGCCTGGCGATGTCGTGCGTCAGCATCTCGTCGAGGACCTCCAGCAGCTTTGGCTTCAGCGAGTGGAACTTGGTGAAGTCATGAGCCATCAGCAGCTCCTATCGGGGAAGGGGAGGCACCAGGAAGTCAGAGGACACCACTCCTGAGGCCCCGGCTCCTTGGTGGCACGAGGACACCTGGGCTGCTCAGGTGGCAGCTCTTTACCGAGAGCTGCAGGCATATTTGAATATTTGCTTGGACCCTGCTTGGACAACAGGGTCCCACGCCCCCCACGCCCCTGCACTCTGAGCCGGGCGTGCCCCAGAATCGACGGACGGCAGGGAGCCCCCGGGGACCTCCGATGAGTCAGAGCAGCGGCTGTTTGCCAGCTGGTACAGAAGAATTTCGACATTTTGACATCAGCTCCAGCTGTGCCGGAGCCCTGGAGCCGGTGCTCAGCCCTGTCTGCCCCGCCGGGAACCCCAGCTGCACCGTCGCTGTGATGCAAGCTCGTGAGCTGCCGCCGCACCGCAGGGAAAGGGCCAGGGGCTCACTGCCAAACGTGGGGGCGAGCCCCGGGATGGAAAGAGCATTAGGAGATCCTGGGACGCCCCCCACACCACCCCCACACCCTCTTCTGCTAGGGCAGCAGCCGTGGGGCTGGTCTGTGGTCATGGCGCTTCTCACACGGGCAACCACGCGTCACCTGTACTGGCAGAGTCGCAGCAAAGACTGAGCTGTGTCATGGCACCACGTTAACTTCCAGAGCCAAGGCAGAGAGGCCCACCGAGTGTGACCACAAAGATGGAGGTAATGATGGTGAAGCGGGGGGCAGGACCCCAAGTCAGGCGGCCGGCGTTCCCACCCAGCTCCACCACTGGTTAATCCCAGGCCTAGACCTGCGAGGAGCCTCCCAGTGGTCCCCCAAGATCCATTTGTCCCTTCTTCCTCGGTACTGGAATCCCGGAACGTTACCTGGGCTCCAGGCCACTTAGGGGAAAGACTACACTTCCCAGCTTCCCTTGCAGCCCACAATACCACATGACCAAGTTCTGGCCAACGGGATGTTAACACGGGTTGGTTGCATGGGCGATTCTAGAACAAACCCCGTTCAATGGAGTGGCCACACGTAGTGATTTAAATTTAAGTGACTTAGAATGAAATAAAAGCGAACATTTCAGTTCTAGTGTGGCCAGTGGTCACCGTATTGGACCGCACGGCATAGAATTCTTTCATCGCCTTCTAGAGTAGCATCGGACAGCACCGTTCTAGAAAGTGTCCTTAAAGAGAGTGACTGTGCCCTTAGCGCCTTCCCACCTCGTCTTGCTGGCTAGAATGCAGACGCGAGGGCCGGAGTCTCCGCAGCCATTCTGTGCCCTGACGGTTCTAGGGACTAGAGGCCAAGAATGGAGGAGACAGAGGACTAGGTCCCTGGCTCTGTCAAGAACCAACCCAGCCCCGGACCACCTTCTGGGACTTTTAAGAAGGAGAGACATAAACTATCCCAACTCAGCCACAGTTGCTCGGGGTTTTCCCTCCCTTCTAACTTAGAAAACCACGCTCCCAGGGAACCATTGGCGGGAGGTGCTTTCCAGAACTCGCCATCCATCCATCTCTCCCGTGATCGATGCCCCATCCCGGAGCCCACAGAAGCCAGCCTTCCCAGCATCCCTTCCACCCCGCTCCTAGGGGGCCTCCCACCTGCATCTTCTGGCAGTCGGGAAAGTCACCCGGAGATATGTGATGCTCCAGCTGAATCTTGGCAAAGATAACGGGCAGCTTGAGGATCAGCTGCTTCTTCTTGTTCTCCTTCCCAAACACCGAGGGCATCTCCTTCTTCAGGTAGCTGATGATGTACGCGTGGACCTGCGGGAGGACAGTTCTCACCTGAGCCTGCCTCACGGTCCCCCGGCTGGCTCGTTAGAATACAGGTCCCCAGGCCTCCCGTCCAGGGCTGCCGGCATGCCGGGTCCAGGGCAGGGCCTGAGAATTCGCATTTCAATCCGTTTACAGGTGAGCCGCTGCCACAGGTAGAAGGGTGTTCCTCTTCTCTTCTAGGCCATCTCGGCCCCTCCCGTGGCTTAAGCACCCTACAACCCCATCCACTCCCCGGTCTGCATACCAGCCGAGGCCTCTCCTCGGAGCTCAGGGCACAGAGCTCACCGCCGGGTCAACATTCCTGCACTGCTCTGTCTTATGCAGCGCTCAGGGGACTCTGGGCCCCCTGAGCTGTGCCCACGTCTAAGCTGTGCCCACCTCTCCCGCCTCAGCGGAGACCAAAATCTGGAAGTCACTCCCAGATTTATTTTTCTCACTCCTCACTGGCAGTGAGTCCTTTTTTCTTGCCTCCTGAGCTGCTTTTTCTCCTCTCTCTGCCTCAGGGGCCACCACCCTCTGTCCCAGCCACCACCCCAATCCCAGCCACCACTAGCTCTTGCCTGGGGAGACACACTGGTCACCCCACCAGTCTCCTGGCCTCTGCTCTTCCCCCTACAATCCCTTCTCCATGCATCAGCAGGCAGACGTTTTTTGTTCGTTTTTTTTTTCCCCCCCAAGGAGCAAACACCAGACCACGAAACGCTGCTCCAAAGTCTCCATCTGCTTCTGATGCAGCAATTCTCACCACAGCTAGACGAGGCTCTACAGCAGTGTTTGTCGGGGGGTCCTGAGAGGCCCCGAAGGGGTCCGTTTGCACAATCAAAAGTATGTGGATAATAACGTTAAGACTCTGTCTTTTTTACTCTGATTTCTCTCTCGAGTGGACGGTGGAGTTTTTTAAGGCCACAACGTGAAAGAGATTTGAGGATGCGGAAAACGAGCTCACTGTCCTTCCCAATATCTTTTTTGTTTGGAAAAGAGTTAATTCTCATAAAACATATGTTACTTAGGTTGACTTAGGCTTATTGTTATTTTAAGCGACCTGATAATATTAATTATCACTGATATTTATTGATGTAAGTTAACGTTGCCAATAACCTGCTGATGACCTTTACGATAAACTACTGCTTACTCATAATCATGTAATTATTAGATGTCGGTTAATTAGGAGATAAACATGAGATGTTTTCTTCGTTCTAACCCCTCACGTGATCGCTATGGACAGATTTTCTCCATGGACGTCTCCATGGACGTACAAACCCTCTGGGGTCCTCGGTCATTTTTAAGGGTGCAAAGGGCCCCCGAGACCGGAAGGTTGGAGAAGCATTGCTCCGCACGATTTGGCCTCTGCTGTTTCTGTCCCGCCTCAGGACCTTTGCACGTGCCACTCTGCTTGGTGCTCTGCGCCAGTCGGCCCACCGCTGGCTCCCTCAGCTTCCTGTCTGACGGGCCATCCCGTGGGAAGCAGGTGTCCCCAGCCATCACCGTCCGGTTACTTTCTATCGTCACCTTCCTTGTTGTGTTCAGGACGTTTGTCTATCGGAATTCGCCGTTATCTGAGTCGTCTATCTATTGGTTCCCTTATTCTATGTCCTTCCATCACCTCCTTTGTTCCCTCTGTGGTCCGCACCAGCGACTCAGGGATCTTTGAGTCACAATCTCACGACTTATCAAAAAACAAACAAGGAGGGGGAAATAAGGAGCATAGTCTGTCCTATTTTTTTTTTTTTTTAAACAGAAAGCTCAATAAGTAAAGGTATACACTTAAATAGAAACAGACTATACCTGGAAGAAAGCACTAGAAACTGTTCATGGGGCTGCTTTTAGGGGTGAGCCCCTGAGAGCTGGTGGCGTCAGGGGTGGGAGGGAGCACGTGCCACAGAACATAAACGCTTTAACGCTCTTATGTGTTCGATTAAAAGCTCTTGCTTAATGACTCATAAGTTTAGAATGCCAAACATTTTAGTGGCTCTGGCTGGTTCTGAATCCTCGTCTCCCAGGTCAAGCCTGTTCCTGCCTCAGGGCCTTTGCACTGGCTGTTCTGCCTGCGGTGGTCTCCCCCCAGACCCCCCTTC